ATGCAACTGTTGACGTCAGCAGCCCACGAAGTACTTGAAGATGTCGCCCAATGCAGACCATCGCCAATACCAGGTATGTGCCCTCACATCATCATCATCATCATCATCATCATCATCATCCTTCTCTCTCTCTCCTGTCTTACACCCACGTCTTCCCTCTGTACACCCGAAGACCACCTCTGCGCCTCACTGTAGTCCAAGCCCATCCAGCTATGGAGACTGGGCTAGGTATAGCGCTGCCCTCAGCAGCGCCCTGCTTCACACACGACCGCACGTGCTTGCACCTTGCCTCTCAGCGCCAGCAGCAGCCCACGAGTGTCCGCTCCAGCAGCGCTGCCGCTAGCATGCAAGTGCCCGAATGAGAGCCCAGGCAGCGACCTCTTTCCTATATGGAAAGAGCCTGCCTCGATTGGTGGCCTGGCTGGCCTGGGCCTCGGCCCAGAAGCTTCCGGTAGGCCCCAGGAGGCATTGCCTCCGATGCAGCTGTTGGGCCTTCGTTCGGTTGGGCCTCCCAACTGTCTGTGTATGAGGCTGCGATTCTTGCCCAGGGCCTGCATTTTCAGAAAGGCCTGGAAGGGCGTGGAATGTCTTTGCTGCTCGACCTGTGTTTCCCTCAACCAACTGGCGCGTCACAACTGCCTGGACCCCAACTATGAAATTGACAGCCGAGGGCCTCTCGTGATGTGTTAGGCCCGCCTTCACTTCAGGCGGGCACATCTGCAACAAGGGCCCCTTAGGCCGTCGAGGACCCAGATCCTCACATTAGTGTCATTACAACTTATTTTTCTTCTTCTCTTATCTATGTCGTTGTCTACTTGCAATGTGGTTTGAGCCTCTCCTGTTTTTTTTTCCTTCCAAGTACCAAAAATAAGTACCTCCAAGTTGTGCCAAATAGTAGGTGGCTGCTTGTACAGAGTGCCTGTAAGGCTGTAACACTATTCACGGGGCAGTTGTGTTTCGGATGCGGGTGTGTTTGTGTTTTCCACCGGTGCTGGACATTTATTTGGTGACTTCCTGGCTCTTGATGGGGCGTGAACCAACAGTCTGCTGGATTTTCCATATGATGTGAGTGGGTCATAGTCCACTTTGTTCCTTGCTGCATTCTTGGGTTCCCGTGTTGGTGACCTACCCGCCTGCCCACCACGCTGCCTCCCAGTGCCCTGTTCCCTTGGTGCTCACCGTGCTGCTTAGCGGTTTGCCTTGCCTTGTTCCCTTGCCTTGCCTTGCCCGCTTGCCCTGTGTGCCCTGTTCCCTTGATGCTCACTATGCTGCTTAGCGGTTTGCCATGCCTTGTTCCCTTGCCTTGCCTTGCCCACTTGCCCTTTGTGCCCTTCCCCACTGTCTTCACCCGAATAGAATGCCCGGTCATTATAACTGTATTTGGGGCAAATTCCAGTCTAGATACAGAGATAATGACCGGGTGTTCTGTTCGGGTGAAGACGGTGGATGCCCACTTGCCTTGTTACCCTGTTGCCTTGCTGCCTTGCTGCTTTCTGTACCTCGCTGCCTTGCTGCTTGCTTTGTCTTGCATGCCTTCCTCTATTTGCCCATGTGCAATAGGGTTTGAACTTTGAAGCTTGGTTATGATCCCAAGCATTGTGAGGGCATTCGGCAGACTGTCGAGGGTTCGGCCTCCTGATGAGTCACTGCAAGTCCAATGAAACAGTCTACCAAAAAAAAAAAAAAAAAAACAGTCTACCACAGCTTCCCTTCTTTTTGTTTTGTTTTGTTTTTTGAATACATACAAGGCTCCCA